GTCAGACTAAATTCAACTCGTCAACCCATTTTAACAACTCTAACAATATCCGCTAGAAATCATCCATCATGGGATGACAAATGACAAATACCAAGTTAAATATTTTTTAAAATCCAATAATCTTGGGTAGCTTTTTTTAATGTTTTTAGAGCAATTTTTTTAGTAAAAAATAAATCTTGAACAAAAAATTTTTGCACTAAAAAATTATTTTAAAAAATAATAATAAATCATGGGATGACAAATGACAAATACCAAGTTAAATATTTTTTAAAATCCAATAATCTTGGGTAGCTTTTTTTAATGTTTTTAGTGCAATTTTTTTAGAAAAAAATAAATCTTGAACAAAAAATTTTTGCACTAAAAAATTATTTTAAAAAATAATAATAAAATTATTTCAAAGGAAGTTTTTTTTTTTTTTCTAGCTTTCCTCTAAAGCAAATTTTTTTTGAAGGGAAAAAAGTTATACCAATTAAGTCTTAGATTAAATTTGAGATAGCTTTCTTATAGCTTTTAAAATCAGCTATCTGCAAAGTTTTTTTCAAGTAAAAATTTTAATGATAGAAAGCTAATTAAGAAAGCAAGAAAGTCGTCCAAACAAATTTTTATTTGGTCCAGTCACCTGACGTAGCAATACGTTCGGACACTAGTAAAATAGTGTCACGTGCGGCCCGACAACCCCAACCCGGAACGGAGACGGGATTGCTATGTTTGCGTGTTGCTAGGTATTGCTCGATATTTGCTCGGTATTGGTCGATTTTGCTCGGCAATAACGAGAAATACCATTCTGTAAAGACCAATACCGAGTAATACCGAGCAATACCGAGAATTACCGAGCAATACCGATCTTGGTATTACTCGGTATTGATCTTCACAGAGCGATATTTTTCATTATTGTCAAGCAATACCTAGCAATGTCGAGCAATACCTAGCAATACCGAACAATAACTAGAGCAATACTGAGCAATACACTGAACATAGCAATCCCGGGTCAAGTCGTCGGGACGCACGGTATTGAGTAAGACCACGTGACGACATGTTATTGGCGTCCGAACGTAAAGCTATGTCAAACCTAATAATTGTTCCGTCCAAACCGAGCATTAATCTTTGTTATAAATAGCTTGGCTGCTACATTACGATGAGAACTAAGGAAATGGATTCCTGTTTTGCTCCTTTGTGTGACTTTCGCATCTATCCCTCCTCCTCCTCCTTGCTCCCCTTCGCCGCCGCCTCCGCCGCCGCCATAATAATAATAATAATAATAATCAGGAAGACCTTCTTCCGCCTCCCCTCCTCCCCTCCCTTACCACCTTGCCCATTCCGCCTCCCAATCGTCGGTAACCTCCCATTCCTAGACCCTAATCTCCACTCCTGCTTCGCCCAACTTTCCTCCACCCACGGGCCCATCTTCCGCCTCCACCTCGGCTCCAAGCTCGCCATTGTTATCACCTCCCCTTCCCTTTCCCGCCAAATCCTCCGCGACCACGACCCCACCTTCGCCAATCGCGACGTCCCAGCCGCCGCCTCTGTCATCTCCTACGGCAGGTCCGACATCGTCTGGAACCCTATCGGCCCCACCTGGCGCATGCTTCGCCGAATCTGCGTCCGTGAAATGCTCAGCCCAAGTAACCTCGACGCCGTCTACCATCTCCGCCGCCGTGAGCTTCGCTCCGCCATCCGTCAGATTCAGTCCGCCGCCATCTCCGGCGAGGTAGTCGACGTCGGTGCGGAGATGTTCCTCACTGTGCTGAATATCATAACTAGCATGCTTTGGGGAGGAACAATGGAAGGCGAAGAAGAGAGGAGTGCGGTGGGGAAGATGTTCAGGCATCTCGTCGGAGAAATCACCGAGCTTCTCGGCCTGCCAAATGTCTCCGATTTCTTTCCGGCGATGTCAAGATTCGATCTGCAGGGTATAGAGAGGAAGATGAGGGTTTTGCTGGAGAGATTTGATGGGATTTTTGCGAGGATTATAGAGATGAAGAGAGAGAAGGGGCTGAAGGATGAGAAGAAAGTGGAGGAAAAGATGGATTTTTTGGATTACATGCTCATGCTAGAGGAGAAGGGCAATGAAAGCAAAGAACCTTTCACTTTCACTCATGTCAAGGCACTGCTTATGGTAACTTACATCTTAATTTATTTTTTTATTTTTTATTTTTTACATTTAGGCCACTTAAAGATAAATTCTTACACCCATCACAGATATAAAATTTAAATCCAAAATCTCTTGATTGATAGTCAAAGCTTTTAATCAACAAATCAAAGTGAGTTGCATACTTACATCGTAATTACTGTCTCATTATTCTATTATTTCCCACATTTTTAAACATGTTTTCCCATTTTCGGTATGGCTCTATGGCCGTGTAGTTGGAAAAATTATTATATGCGGACCGCGAACGTCATCCGGAGACCAATCCAAGTCACATTTTCACTTGGTACTGCAACTCGATACCGCTGACATGGTTGCACCTGATTCGCCTCCGGATATAGACTACGTCCGGCATCCTCACAGAATAATTTCTAGTGTAGTTGGGGGGTAGGGTGTCAATGAGTCGAGTCGAGCTTGAGTTACTGTTGATTTGAGCTTGAATTTGATTAATTAATCGAGTTCGAGCTCAAACTTTATCTATGAATTCCGACTGACTCGTGTCAAATCTAACTCGAGTAATCATTAATATGAGCTTGAACTTGATTGAAATTCTGACTGAATGCAGGATATGGTGGTTGGGGGAACTGAAACAAGTTCAAACACAATAGAGTTTGCCATGGCTGAAATGATGAACAAACCAGAGACCATCAAACAAGCACAAGAAGAACTAGACAAAGTAGTAGGCAAAGACAATGTAGTAGAAGAATCACACTTACCAAATCTACACTACCTAAATATGGTCCTCAAAGAAGTTCTCAGGCTTCACCCAGCCTTGCCTCTCCTTGTTCCTCACTGCCCGAGCTCGCCATGCTCCATCGGCGGCTTCGCCGTGCCGAAGGGAAGCAGAGTGTTCATCAACGTATGGGCCATTCATAGAGATGAAGCAATGTGGAAAGATCCGTTGGAGTTTAAACCTGAGAGGTGGAGCTATGGTGATGCTGCAGGAAGTGGTGAGTTCAGTTACTTTCCCTTTGGATCTGGGAGAAGAATATGTGCAGGGATTTCAATGGCTGAGAGGATGGTTTTGTACTCTTTGGCTTCACTTCTGCACTCATTTGATTGGAAAATGCCTCAAGGAATTACAGAGATGGATCTGTCTGAGAAGTTTGGGATTGTTCTTAAGAAGGCTAAGCCTCTTGTTCTACTGCCAGTTCCAAGGCTTTCAAATCCTCAATTATATTCTTAATTTGGAAGGAGAGTTTATGATATATTTGGGGCTGCTGCAATTATCTGTAAGTTAGAAGAAATTATTGTGCGGAATCCGAATGCATTCGGGTGCGTCGCATCACCGGACGCACTCGCCCCCAATGCGTGGCATGTCAGGATTCGCCTCCAAACACGTTCGGATTCTGCACACAATAATTTCTCATAACGTTCGATTCCGCACACAATAATTTCTTGTAAGTTAGGCTTCCGTTTCGGTAAAAAATTGCTTTAAGAATAAGTAAAAAAGTTGTCCAAAAAAAGCATCAGTCAAACTGTTATCAGATAAATAAATTTTATGAAAGTTATTGTGATTATTATAATTTTTTTATTATTATTATGAAAAAGTAGAACAGTAGGTGTCTTGTCGTTATTATATTTATATAAATTAAAAATTCCCATATGTCAACTTGTAGAACAAAGAGAGAGAGAGGGAGGGTTGAAATTATTCTGTGCGGATACAGGCGCTATCCAGAGCCAAATTAGAAAGCGTCACGTTACCTGTTTGTTGCGTACCGCGACTATGTACCGTTGTATACCGGATGATATGAACCGTTCTGATTCACCTCATGATGACAGTCCAATGTCCGCACAGAATAATTTCTCGAGGGTGGGAGGGGGAGGGAGAGGGAGGTGAAATTATTACATGAAGTCACCGAATATCGTCCCGAGATTAATCAGGACACGTCAAGTCACCAATACATTATATACCATTATTATGTATCAGGTGATCTAACACATCCTAATTGATTTCTGAACAGTCTGATGACCGCACGTAATAATCTCTCCGAAAAGAGAAGTTAGAGAAACTACTTAGAAATTAGAAGTGGTTGTAACTACTACAAAAAGTCCAATCCACACGTCGTCAACTTGTGGAACAGCACAGCACCAATAATTGCTCTCTCTCTCTCTCTCTCTCTCTCTCTCTCTTTTAAGCCTAATAAAAAAATTCACTCAACATGCATTAGGTCCACTTGGCAGGCTTACTCATCTGGTCCATGTTCATTTTTATCCTTTCTTGAACCACACCTTATCCATGCAATTGTTTGTATTTTTTTATTCCTCATATGGCTTTTTATGTTGTCTTAAGCTTTATAAATATGAGATCAAAGGTATATTTTAAAAGAGAGATTTATGTAGTAATTCTATATATTTTATATTGGCAATAATTTCTAAAAAAAACTCTTTATAGATTCTCTGATTTTTCTCTATCTTTATCAATTCTGTAAATCTTGTAGTTCATACAATTAGAGCTGAAATATCACTATAGCTTCGTTTGTGACAATTTTCTTACTATTTTCTAAAACGATTTTTTAGTACAAAAATTTTAATTTTTGTAATAAAAAGCTTCTTTAGGAATATAAATAAAATCTTTATCATACTTCATTAGCTTTCATGATCCTTGAAACTTTTAGTTTAAGTTAAATGAATTTACTTATAATTAATGATTTCACTTGAGTTAGAAGATCAAAGTTCTAATGCTCCGCTTGGGAATGTTTTCTTACTGTTTTTAAAAATATTTTTTAAATAAAAAAATAATTTTTTATACTGAAAAACTATTTTAAAAAGCAATAATAAAATCATCTCAAATGAAGCCTAACTTAATCCGGTGAATCCCCGTTCTGTGTCCATCTAAATGAGAAGTTTTTCGGCTCGAAACTCTCTAAATGAGATTTTCAATTTCGCGAAACCAAGAAAAAAAAATTCTGAAAACAAGACCCAAGTCATTTCTGTTCTATACTCCTAATTTCTTCTAAGTTCTCAACCAACAGTAAGACTTCGTTTGGGATGATTTTTTTATTGCTTCTTAAAGCAGTTTCTATTAAAAAATTTAAATTTTTATAATAAAAAATTATTTTAAGAAGCAATAAGAAAGCCATCTCAAACGAAGCCTAAGCCTTACACAAAATACTAAGGTTGAGAATTTTAATTATATTTCTTACCATATATCACCTCAGTGATCATCAGCCCCATCAGTCTACTGCTGTTTCTGGTTTGAATTAAGAAAAAAAAAACACAAAGAAAAACCCTAAATGTGTTGAATTTGATGTGCATCAATGTGATAAATGACATTTAAAATTAGCAAAAAAAAAAATTTAATGAAAGAAATATGGAATGTTCAGTTCATTTCAAGGGATATAATATGTCAATTGCAGAAACTTTCTAAAGATTTTCAACCACACAAACTTCATACTGCAATAAGAATATTGTGGAAAAAAATAAAGAAATTCACCAAATGCTGAAATAAAAACAGTACTGCAATATTTCTGAGATGAAGAAACTTTGGATCATCTTCTGAAATGTATATTCACAACAGTTGGTTGCATGAAGGTCTGCTGGATGGAAATGGCGAGTGGTAAGTAGGGATGAAATAAGAATGATGATATTCTCTTTGGCCTTGCATCTGAACCACTTGCTTCTGAACCTGCAACAAAGCACAAAATTGAGTTCTGATAAATTTTGCTTCAGAAGGAGAAGAAAAATATCATTTCAGATGCGAGGCTCCAGTGGCAGATAACATTAGAGAGAATTGTCTTAGATGATTTGGTCATATAAAATGTCGGCCTTCCGATTTAGCCTATGTTAAGAAAAATAAAGGTAGACCTAAGAAGACATGGTTATAAAATACGAAAAATGGCCTTTTGTTATAAAATTTAAATGAGAATTTGACTCTTGAGAGGACACAATGGAGAAAAAATATTTATATAGCTGACCCCACGTAGTGGAATAAAGGCTTGATGTTGTTGTTGTTGATGTATATTTGCCTCATTTTCTAAAGAACTTTATGTATTATTATATTCTAATTATTTCAATGAAAAATAGTATTGATCTCTAGCAAAAACTTTTGTACAAGATGTTGGCATGTTGCCATAATTTGAATTGGAGGTATGAATCACACACAAAGTTTATGAACTCTAATATATAATTTTTTTTATTAATTATTTCTTATTTTCGTACATCTCCATCACTTGCCCAAGGCATCTTAAGCCCCTCAGCCTCCTCAAAAATGGTCATATTCCCCTTACCAAAATGCAACTCATGTGTTACAAATGTTATGACTAACCTGCAAAAGAAATTCATAGATTTATAACCACTTATTCAATTGGTCTAAAACCACCACCATTAATTAGCTAAAATCCCAAGCCTATGATATATATGTCCTCATCATTTTCCAACAAAGAAAACCTGACAATCTACTCTCATAAAGCTTCAACCAAAAATCTATCAGCTTATGTTCGAGTGGAGTTTTAGGCTCTTGATCCCTCCGGTTGTGGCAATCTATTGTTTTCTCACATGACATGGATTTATGTTCTTCATCTCGCATTTGTTTTCAAGCTCATTCTCTTCCTTTGATTCTGAATGGGGGCTATTACTACCAATCCAACCTCCAATTTGGCTCCTCAAGACGCCCTTCCTCCTTTTCAACAAGCCCTCCTCTTTCTTTCTCATCGATTGTTCCTAGGATTTTGGATGAACCACCCTAGTTACGTCAGCACCTCTTAGCCAGGTGGCTCCTTGCTTCCCAGAGGCTCCTCCCATTGTTTCCTCTCCTTTAGAAACTTCAAAACCAATTGTCCACCTCAAAACCAATTGTCCACCCTCATTATTTCTTTGTAGAGGTAGTTGGTGATTTGAATGCTTTAGGCTAACATGATGTTAGACCGGTCCAGTTTTAGGCTAACATTTAGTAGACCGCTCCAGCCAGTCTATGAGGAACCAGCTTACGAAACAGAGGCAGAACCCTCAGCCTCCCGCGCGATCCAACCGCTCCAGCCAGCATTTTAGGAAAGTTTTTGAAGAGCGTTAGGAGAGAAATTTGAATGTAGGGATTGTTTAGAGATTTCCTTTTGAATTGTATGCATTAAATAGTTTATTTTCCAAGAGTTAGGGCAACTTGAATTTGGCTGAAATTTGAGATCTCTTAGGTTTTTGTTGGGCTTTAACGACGTCTAGAGATTTGGGAGAGAGATCCTCCTCCGAATAGAGGATCAATTGTATCTTGGTATTTCTCGTTTCCCATTTATCAAATAATACAAATTATCTACTGTTTTTGTGATTTCGTGTGGATTTTTGTGGAGAATTCTCATTGCTTTCCGAGGATTAATAGGAAATACTTGACATCTACAAGTGTTTCCTATCACATTCCTCCCCATCCAACCACTTCCATTATTTTTTTACCAAGATTTAAAAAAAAAAAAAAAAGATATCGACTTATCAAGGCAAATCTGCTCCATCTTCACTAATAAGATATATGTGCTTGCTATGCCACTTTCTTGTTTATTGTTGGCAAATTCTCTATGGGCCAACCCAACCTCAAATAATTTGCATAATCTTGTCTAATCTAAATTTGAGGGAAAAAAAGATCAAAATAGCCTCTTGATTCCTTATGAAAGATCAAAATAGACCCCAACTATATTAAAAGACCATTTTGGTCCCTCAACTTCTTAAATAGAAACCAAAATAGTCCCACCATAGAACTATTTTGATTCATTTTTAAAGATTTGAGAAACGAAGAAAAAATCTTGCAGCATATGAGAAAACTAATATTGCATTTTCAAGGCTAATAAGTACTCATCAGATAAAATATTTCTGAAACTTAAAACCATGGTTTTTAAACCTTCATTCGAAATGGAAACAAGAGGAAGAGAAAACTATGAACGTTTTATCTCAACAAGTATGACAAATTAAAACAGTTGCACTAAGCAGATGAGAGTAAACTTAAAAAGTGAGCAGAAAACCATTTCCATTTCAAAATCTCCTACGAATTATTCTAAAGACTTCAACAAGAACATATGCTCATCATAACAATTTTTACCAAAGTTAAAATGTCTTCAAATATCATTGTTGAACATTAGTATGAACAACTATTCTCATCAGAATCCAAAGCTGATCATTTGGAAGAGTATGAACAACTTTTCTTTTTTCATTTCCCATATAGTTTTCAATTCGCAGATCATAATTCAATTATTTGACTAAGCATTGCATGCTTACCTGGCTTTATCTTAAATTTGAGGATGTGAGGCTGCCTCCTTGAAATAAATTTAATAGGATGCTCAGTTGAGTATCTATGCCGATCAGTAGCAGAAATTAGCTAAAGAAACTTAAAATCAGATTCCAGCATTACCACCAATTCCAGCAACTAGAAATAAACAACAGCAGTGCCAAAGATTTGTGATAAATTTGTAAGAAGTTATGCAGGTTTTGACAAAATCATGAAAGAGATTATTAGCATACATGCAAAGGAAGTCCATATCAAAAAACAGCCAAAAAGAGGAAATTAAAATTGCATATTTTGATTCAAAATCTGACCTTCCTACTTAAAAACAGATCGCTAAATGACACTAAAAAATGGATTAACTCCAATAAGAACGTCAAAAAAGAATACTTTAGGCATAATGAATTTGAAAGACTGAAAGATGACACTTACTTTTTAGTATCAAATCTATAGGTATAAGAGATATCTAACAGAAGGAAAGAGAAAATGATCAAAATGGTCATTTGACTCTTTATAAAGGACTAAAATGATCCCGACTTTATTAAAAAATCATTTGGTCTCTCAATTCTTTAAAGAGAAACCAAAATAATTCCACTATCCGAACTAATGGATGTTGATTTAACAGTGTAAAAATTAGGAGAAGTTTTGAATTTTTTTTTTTTAATTAAGCTATTTATTAAATATAGTTCTCAAGAAATTATATTTTTTTCATCTCCAATAGGAGCTTTTTCGTATATAAGTAGGAGTTAGATATTGTTTGCTGTTGTGGCGAATTTTTTTAAGATGATGAATTTAATAATAAGATTATTAATAAAGTTAAAAGTTCTGAAGAAAATTCATGGTCTAAAAATGAAATATTGCATGATTAATGGCATTAAATACATGATTGGTCTGAATAACAAAAATATGGCATCAATTATTTCATTCTCTTTTTCTATATTTAGATGAACTTCCATCTCATTTACAACTGGATTGCACAATAACATACTAAACAAAACTTCTGCCAATGCAGTTCATCTCATTAGTATATCCTACATAAGTTGAAAATAGAGGGAAATAACAATCAATTTGAAAATCGGAAACATCCAATTCAGTTTATCATTAAATAAATTAATTTAAAAAACAAGTAGGTGAAAGCTAATTTCAATTCAATTTATTTACTGTTTACTTTTCCTCTCTTTCAATTTCAATTAAAACCAAACAGAAGCTACTATTTGCTCTAAGGAAATTCACATGAATCCATATTAAATCTAGCACTTCAATCAACTTCTCAATCAGCACGCTAAAACTCCTCGTAAAGACAAACTTCTTAATATTTTACATAGTAATAAATTTATATTTTAAATGTATTATATATTTTTCCATCTAACTTATAGCCAACAACATATATAATAACATTTTATAATATAGATATCAATAATAAGAGTATTAAAAATATATATTTCTAAAAAAAATAAAAATAAAGATTCATCCATTTAGTTAGAAATAAATCATCAAACGACAAAAAAGTACTCTTTTATAGTTACGAAACATAATATTTATGCTAATCCTTGTATTTTTTCTCATTATATTCAAAAGATGAAATAAAACACGAACTATGAATCTCTATTTACTGTCGTCCCACAATCTACACAATCGAATTCGCAGGTGGCTACTCGATCAAACTCGACTGGCCATGTGGGGCTTGAACAAACGAGGACATTTTCCTTGAGCCGAAGGTCTTCAACTCCGAGTAAAGAACGAAAAGGTCTCATTCGCAGTTGTGATGCAAAGAATGCTTGATCGATGAGTTCGACGTTGTTGAAGTTTAGCACTAGGTTTCAATTATTATGAGGGTTCGTTGCTATGGTTTTGTCGCTACTAGAGGTTTGTCGTCAAGGTTCAATGCAAGTGCTCATTGATGGCCTGGGTTTGATGCTCGCTGCATCGATTTTGATTTTGATTTCATCTCGACAACTGGGTTCAAAATTTTGCAATTGCTACTAGGTTTGATGATTTTACAAAATTCTAGATATACCATCCCACCATCCGATATAATTGTTAATTTATTAATTTTTACTGTAAACTTCTAACGATGTGACTATTTTGGTTAATTTAAAGATTTGAGGGACCAAAATGTTCCTTTAATATAGTTGTGGACCATTTTGTTCATTAATAAAGAGTCAAGCAACCATTTTAATTCTTTTCTCTAGAAGGAAATAAGGATAGCAATGAATATTAACTAACCTCAAAAATTAACTATCAAGTTGCAAATGTCCAGAAAAATCGCTATTGTATTTAGATATTTGTATCATGAAGCCCCAGAAATTTAGCATGAGTTGTGTAAGCCCAAAATTATCTAAACTGAGCTAACCAAGTCTTCATGATCAACTTGAACCACTTCTAAGGCTAGTTGACTGGTAAAAGAATTTCTAGCCGCCCATAGATATTCAACAAATATTAGACCCAGAAACTATAATTGTTTTATCATTGTTGCTTATAATTAATGACTGTAAAAGTTACGTGTAACTATGATTATGATGATAAATAAATTGAATATTTCCTCATATAATTTTCATATCTTCCTTCTCCCTCTAATAAAATTGGGCGAAGACACCTTAAAATAGAGCCTCTCCTCTCTAAACATCAAAACACAAAACCCTACGTGCTAAGCCTGGTTCCCAATGCACAAACACAAGCCTCTTAATCACTTTCCTGATTTTGGTCAAAACCCAAGCCTCTATCATAATTAGGATTTAGGAGAGGCTTGGCCCACTTATCATCATTTTAGTCCTCTCTTCAATTCTGTATAAATCTTATAGCAGGAAGAAATCTCCTATGAAAAACTTAAAAGCTCCACTTATAAACCATTAACCTCAATATTCTACTAGTTGGAAAACTCTTCTTCACCCACCATTCCAAATTAAGAGGCTTCATTATACTTGTGCAGTTTAATCGCTTGCATCCCAAATCACTCTTGCTACTACATCAACATATGTACCTCTCTATCACCCATTCTAATATCGAGTTCCTTGTTAGTGTTATAAGACAAACGATGAACAATCTTGGTAAAGACCACATAATAACTATTAACCGCATTCTAAGGTAACTGATGATGACATTATGATAATATCTACTTTATAAAAATTCATCCAACTGTGAAATCAAAAATTTCACAAATGTTGATTGGGTTGGAAACGTGTGAAACCAAAGATCCAACTCTAATTGTCGTACACATGGAGAATTTTGATTATATGGAAAAGTAAGAAACAATGCGTTGTCACAAGATGTAGTGTTGATGCTTAATAGAAAGCGGCGTCACTTTGAATTTGCAAAAGAATGTTGTTACAAAGATAATTAAAACAACTAAACTACTAAATGGAAAAAACTTTAAAATTACACTATGACAATCAGGCTGTTATAAGCATTCCAAAAAATCCTATGTATCATAATAGAATAAAACACTTTGAGATAGAATGATATTTCATCTTATAAAAATTTAAAAATAGACTAGCCCAACTAAATTATGTTCCAATAAACTCTCCAATTATAGATATCCTCACCATGGCTTTATCCAAACTGAATTTTGATGATCTAATCAACAAATGGGACATAATCAACATAGACAACTTAGTTTGAGGAGTTGAAATAATACTGAATCCATGGCAAGCAACTTCATATCTATTGCAACACAGCAATCCATAGACAGTAATTTTTCATCCATAGTAATATAGTAATCAGTGGATAGTAGCTTTCTATCTACAACAAACTAGTAATCTATTGACAATAGCATTCCAATTTTGGTGTGACGTTAATTATGGATTCCAAAAATAAATACTAATTTTCAGATTTGTTTCTTTCCTAGATAGTTGCACCACCTATTTCCATGACTTTTTTTTTTTTTGTAATAAAGAACAAGAGAATAAAATTTAGTCATAATATCTTTCATTTCTACTCTTCTCATTTCTCATTGTTATTTTTAAGAGATATAAACAAGAACAAGTAATACTAGGAATGACAACTAATAAGTGATATAAAAAGATAATTGCAGAAGCAACTATTGAAGATAAGATGACGAAAATAGCTCAAGTGATTTGATCATGTCCAATAGAAGACATAAATGCACTACGAAGACATGTACATGGAATAAATATTAAAGGAAGAAAAATAAAGCGGTAAAACAATGGTAATATGGCAAGATGCTCCATAGAAAAGTTGTGTAACCGAGAGTTTTTTTTTTTTTTTAGCATCTCATATAGCATTCTATAAATATGAATATAAAAGGAAGATTCCAAGAGATGGACATAAACAATATTGTGATAAGCCTAAATGTTGAATAAGAATACTGTTTTGAATAGCCTTACGAATTGTAATTGGCCACCTAAGATTTGAAGCAAACTAATCTAAAATCATCTGCATGACATGACCAGTTTCTATGTTTTCTCGCAAGCATTACTGAATAAATGGTTAGGGTCGGACAGGAATTATGGAAGCATTTAGAGGTACTAGAAGTTTTCTATATTTTTTATTCTATTTTTTCTCACCATTCTGTTATGTTCCAATTAGTTATAAAAAATATACGGCAACGAGGCAAATAGGTTAGTTAGTTCTCTAAAAAGGAGAACATTCTTTATATTGATTGTTCGTGAATGTATGAGTAAGAGTTTATCATCAATGAATGCTCAGGATTAAATATGAATGCTTATGAATTTTAAAATTCTTCTGAAAGATTACATCTTAGAGCACAGACTTCACAACTCATAATTCATATAATCTGATATTTAAGTTTTAATGTGAATCCAAACATATAGTTGATGCAGATTATGCTAATAAATCTTTAAAAACCTGTCATTCAAGGAACTTGAGTTAATGGACTGTTTCCGACCTTCTCGTCATACCGAAATAATGAGAGATCAAAGTACGGCGAAGGGCTTTGAGACTGGCATGTGTAAGGCAATGATGACACCATCTTCTTCACAAACTGTGAGGGATAACAATAAGGGTCAGCAGTGTCTATTAGATATTCTGATGATGTAATTGGTGCAAAGTTATGCATGTCCATATCTCTAGCATGAAAAACTCTTGTTGAACACATTATTTGCAAGACAGCATATTCATGAAAAAACAAGCCAACATATCTACTTGAAAATATGATGCGGACATCCGACGGTGGACATTAATCAAAGAAAGAGACGAAGATCGACGGCCGAGATCCCTCCATTTTTTATCTTAGTTTATTAATTGTATTTTTTATTTAATTATACATTTTTCATTTTTACCCTTACTTAATGATCTTGTTTTATGTAAGCCCAATGGGCAAAGTTGTCTTTTAGTTTCTTTTAAGGCTTATATATAGAGGCTTTTACTCTCGTATTAGACAATGATGGATTATTAATAAAAGAAATTTGTTTTGCACTTTTGTTCTTTGGGATGATGTTAGTGGGAGTCCCTATGGAGGAAATTGTGGTATCCACCAGCCGCAGGATAGGTCCGGGCTCGTGGCTTGAAATCCTGTTAGACCGGCCCATCCTGGGCCGGTTGGACCGGTTCAACAGGGACCGGTCCAATTCTATTCGAGGCGGAGACGGAAGGGGCGGGCGGAAGGCACGATCCGCGTGGGGCTTGAGGGGGAAAGTTAGGAGGGAAATTTTGAACGTGTGAGGCTGTTTTAGGAAGTTTATGATTGTCCTTTATTGTCCTTTATGATTAATTCTGTATAATTAGGAGTTGGGGGGGAAAATTAGGGGACATCTTGAATTTGAGTTTTCTCTTTGAGATCTAGGTTTTGCTTTTGGCTCTTGGCTTCGCCGGAGACTTTGGAGAGTACGTTCTTCCTCTCGAATTGAAGAACAAATTGTATCTTTGCTATTTTCATTGTCTTCTAGTGAAATACAAGTCTTTTCTCCTCATCTTCTACAGTTTTTTCCCTCTTTTTCCACTGTTTTTGGCTGATTTCCTGCTGTGGACAGCAGTTTGCTTCGTGATTTGTTGCTAAAGCGATTAGGGAATACTTGAAATCAAGTATTTCCTATCAAATCCCTTGGTGAAGGGCATCGCATCACTCGTTAGTCTTCAGAAGGGTCCAAGGCTCACGGTTCTATCTTTTTTTCTTTGTTTTGTTTTTTCTTATTTCCCTAAACCACCACCTCCTCAAGCCCTCCACCAAGGCGCTGATCCTCTCACCCCCATCACCTCCACACCATCAGCCTACACCAGTCCCTCCCTTCCTCCTCCCTCCCCTTAGCCGAAATCCACCATGGCTCCACCCACACGCCGGCAACCTCCTTCCCTAACCCCACTTCCCTCAAAAGATCCCTCTTTCCTTATTTAAGTTGTCATTAATTTGGAAAGATTTTAAATTCAAATTAATCCATTTGAATTTCGAATCCATCCTAATTAATTACCTTATTTTTTGAAACTTCTTTCATTCAATTAATTAATCAATTCTGAAATTGATTGATTAATTAATCCCTAGTCCAAATACATGGAACCTAGACACCCCTAGTCCCCCCTCTCTCTCTTGGCCGACCCCATACCCATGCCCTCTTTAAATTTCTTCCCAAAATTAGATTAATGATTATCTTGAAAATGTTTTGAATTCAAATCCAACACAATTTGAAATTCAAATACTTTCTTAAATTAATTGATCTATTTTAGGAAAGTCTTTAAATCAATTCCAAATTGGATTTGAATAAAATTCTCTCCCTTAATTTAAGACTATTGAATAGGCAAGCTATAATTCCACCCCTCTCTCTCCTATTTTAATTAACGCTTCTTCATTACGACCCTCAATCTCTCTCCGTTTTAGAGATTAATTAAGTACCCCTTCCCTCCTTTTTCCATTTATTTGAAATTCAAATTTCAAATGACCCCCCCCCCCACACACATATCTGTTCTACATCAAAATATTTCAACCATTCATTTCTCTGAAAAAGATATCCTACTCCATAAATGGAATTCTCCGCCTGCGTTTTACTTTTCTTTATATGACAATTCTTTATGTACAACCAAATCATGTATTTAAGCACCATGTCAGGATGCAATATCAATAATTAACATACAGTACAGGATGCATATGATCGCATGCTTTAAGAAGTTGACCTTCCATTCCAAAGGCCATTTTCCTCGTACATACATACTGTGGCAAATGGCTTGAAAAAGAGTAGCTCATCCAATTCCTTCATGTTTCTTTTTTCTTATTGTTCATATTTTATCCACATGCTGCACCAAAAGTAAGTGTGTCCAAAATTGACCCGACCCACCAAACCAACCCGGAAATTCCGGTTTTGGGTTGACCTATTTAATAAAAAGGTCAGATTTGGATCAACCCGCCGACCCAAAATTAACCCAATTTTGACTCGAATCGGGTGGATTTATGGGATTTGGTCGAAGCAGCATGTGAAATAGAAGAAAGGTTACTATCGTCGCATTGAGTGAGCTCCCGTCGTCGTTGACTAAAGAAGGTGAAGTTCGGAGGGGCGGTTACGGGATTTGGCTAAAGAAGCATGCGAGCCGAATGTAACTTTTGGCCGAAGAAGCATGCGAAATGAGAGAAGGAAGCTTACCGTAGCAACGAGCAAGCTCCCGTGACCCATCATTGTTGAAGGAGGTGAAGTTCACAGCTTTTGTTTCAAGTCAGCGGCTCGGGTTCAAGTCTAAAATTTTTGAGAGTATTAAGAGCAGGTCAATTTCCGATTGGACCCGAACCCGACCTAAAACCCCATTGTGACACTCCTAACCAAAAGCTTGTTATGAATCATTAGATAATGCTCAATATAGAGCATCCATGCTAAAAAAACTTTCCTCTATTTCAAACACTCTCAGCATCTAATAGACTTCAAGCAATATATCTATCACATAATCTAATGGCTTGATTTTTACATGAAACTAACATAAGAGATGCATCTACACAAAGTCCCTTGTTAAAAAAAAAATCTGAAAGAAGTGATCAGATAGATGAGTAAACTGAAATAAAAGAAGCCTATATATTCTTCAATCATACAATCCATTGGCTTGATGTGCACATGAAAATAACAAAAAAGATGCATCTAAGCAAAGTCACTCATAAAAATAGAAAATAAAAAATCTGACAAAAAGAAAAAAGGAACAAAATTGGTCTATTGACTCTTGATAAATGACCAAAATGATCCTCAACTATATTAAAGGACTACTTTGGTCCTTCAACTCCTTAAAGAGGAACCAAAATAGTCTCATGGTGGGACTATTTTAGTTCCTCTTTAAGGAAGTGAGAGGACAAAATTATTATTTAATATAGTTGGGGACCATTTTGATCCTTCATCGAGAGTCAATAAACCATTTTGATTCTTTTCCTCTAAAAGAAGTGATCATATGAGTGAACTGAAATACCAGACGCCCGTATATTCATAGTGACATGCACACTTACAATCATCATCATTATTACCCTCATCATATCTATTTTGGTTTGAAATCCTAGGAATTTTAGTAATTGCAAAAATAGCTTGTTTAAGAAATCAGGTGTAAGGCTCTAATGCACGCCATCACATCATCATGGAAAATCCAACACAAGAAAATGGCTGGTTTGGCCCAAACTTAATAGATAGTTGGATCTGTCATGCACTATGGAACTTGTTTATAGGATGATACCGGGTAACTGGTATGAATTTCAAGTGAAGTGATGTGGTATTCAGCGGAAGAAGCAGGTTCAGAGAGGAAAAACAGAGAACTAAAAGGATAAAGGCCTGAACCTGAAATTGTATTATCAGCAAAAACTACTTTCATCTTCTCCGAAGGGAGAAGATATACAAAACATTCACTATCAAGAGGGTTCTTCCTCTTGCAGAAAATAGCTAAATGACAGAAGAAGAAGTTTTGTACTATCATATGCTCAAAATAGAAACTATAGTAGTGGGCTGGCAACTAATAACAGAATGCTTAGCGGTAAGAAATTATATAAACTATGCAAAATAACTATAGGAGCAGAATAACTATAGATAACCGGGACCATGATGGCTTATTGCACCGCATCATACTCCCCCTGCGACAGAAACATCAGACTGATGAAGAAAAGCTTGTTTGTGCATCATCCGGTGCGCGGTAACGTGAGATATCCACGACATGAAATGTAGAGGCAGTGTGAATGTGTTCTGGTAAGTCCACAATGTATGTATTTGGATTGATCTGTTTGAGAATAGCAACTGGGCCAATTTTCTTTCTGCTTAATTTTGAATAAGCTCCAGGATTGAATCGCTCCCGCCTTAAACGGATAATCACCAACTCTCCCGGTTTGAATAAAATACATATGACAATATGTTCCTACATTTTTTTTTTTTTTGTGCATGAGAATTTAAGTACAATATTTTCCTGGGCACACTTTCCGTATGACATTTGTTCAAATAGAGATCATTGATTGGTGGCATGAGTTTTTAACCGTTCAGATCAATAAGTTGATAGGCTTCTCCCTAATACACTTTCTCGATGACAAACAAAACTTTCCAACTAGGCTTGAATTTACCACCAATTTTTCGATGTGGGATGATTAGTCTTCTTAATACCATGACCAATTCCCCTTATTGAAATGCTCGATGGCGTGCCAAACGGTCAAAAGATTCTATCATTCTTGCTTGATAAATTTTTAAATTTTGTTGAGCTTGGAGTCTGACTTCATCTAGTGCATCAAGCTCTTTCATTCATAAGCAAGCATTTTGTTCTTCCGTGAGGTTGTAATAAACAGATGCTCGAAGTGATGGCAACTCAATTTCAAGTGGCATTGCTACTTTAGCTCCAAATACCAACGCATAAGAAGTGGCTTTTTTTGGTATTTTGTAGATAGTTCAATATACCCATAATGCCTTTATCATCTTGGTATATCCTTCTCTTTTATTTTTATTGTGACTTTTTTTAAGTAATTTTACCAGCGTCTTGTTTAAAAATCAAATCCCCTCAAAACATCTATTGTATTTTCACTTTCTGCTCTTCCAGTGTCGACATCCATGCAAGTCTATATGAACTGACTACAAACTATCCACCGCCCGCGTAGCTTGTAGGAGATCCTTAGCTGTTGAGTTGTTGTCATCTTCATCTCCTAACAGCTAAACACACACTCTTCTAATCTGAGTCATCACTCCACCAACGAACACGCATATACATAAAAAATATAGGTACCCACTAATAAATCCAAAAAAGGACATTTCATAGAACAGGCCCAAAAACGTGTTAATGGTTGGAAAATTTTACTTTAAAGTACTTAAAGGATGACAACAAGAAATATACCAGCTGCTGAGTTATCTCAAAAGACGTGCATAGAAGCAAAAAAAATAGAAAAATCCAACTGCAAATGTATAAGAAATTTGTGCACCCAGTTCTGAGTAAGCATTACCTGTAAAAAGTTGCTTGCTCTATTTTTTATTACACACAGTTGATCAAAAGCATAGATATTGTTTGAGTGAGAAGAGATGAAATTTGCATGCAAAGAGGATCTTGAGGATGCCGTAAAATGATCGCAAAACTGCTCATATAAATAGTAGAGCTCCTCTGTGGAATTCTGCATAATAAATACAGAGCATAAATGGAAAGCACGCATAAGAATTTTTTATGAGACACCAACAATTAGAGTGAAAGTATGTGACCTGAAAAAATGAGATAATTTCAGCTTTTTCTATGTTGTACACAGCGAAAAAAGATGGATGTTGTTCAGTGGTACGAGAAACCTAATAAGCACACAAATTTAGTCAACTCATCATAACAAGCGAAGGAATAAATGCCGTAAAGCATGAGGGAGGCTTGAACTACGTATGCAAGATTTACAAATCAAGGAGTACATAGAAGTACTTACCACTCCATCTACACTACCAAACTTGATTAAAAGATGATGACGATCCAAAAACTGTACCTGTTGAAGTTATTGAAATTGCAAATTATTCCGGTAGCATATCCTTAAAGATTAGAAGAATATCAAGATAAGCTAAAAAAAAAGGAGAACATTTGCAATTGAAAATATCTAGTCCATGGCTTCAAATGGCATTTTAACCACAGGTTAGTGTTTTGACAAAGCAATAAACAAGTGTTTAACAAAGAGTAATAAGCATAATCTTCAAATTTTTTGAAGTGTCGTTGTAAAGCAACTAGAAATATAAACGACAAGATGAGTACCTTCCACATGATTAGATCAATGTAATCTTGAAAATGAAAATAAAACTTTTTCTTCAGATGTTGAATCCTCTGCACCAAAAAAGTTCTAATCAATATTAGATAAGTGGATATGGGAAACACCAAATCAAAATCATAATGATGATAATTTCCTAAAAGGGAGGATATTATTTACAAGGGGGGCCTCTGCATAAGCGTCACATAGTTCTAACATGCCTAAGATGATGGCACCTCAATTCATGTGCCATAAAATGTTTACATGAGCAGGTTGATCATTTACCCAGGACAGAGAACATGTTTTGCACTGTTTTAAGAAAAACAAAAAAAAAATACAATTGCTAATAATTAAGGTCCACTTTTAATAACAAAGTAAAAAACAAGTTGTAATTAACCAAGCTAGTTTACATTCTCCTTGTGAATTTATGCCACAAGTCCCAATATTGACACATAAGAAAGGAGAGAAACAGCATTGAGCACCACCTCAAATAAAAGCATATTTTTAAGGGATGTTCTGGCCATGAGTATGATTAAGGAGGGATCCTATAAGTAATGTTGAAGTTTGGAGGTTCCAAATCCAAGAAAAACAAAAACAAAAATACTCTGGGCATGGGATTAAACACTTCTAGCTAATAATGTTGCAGTTCTACATTCTATCATAAATTCATATAGATAAACAAAACAATTAAATTCATAAAATGAGCATGCACATGGTTAAGCTGAAAAGTAGGGTACCAAAAAGTTAAGAATGTTTTATTTGTTTCTAACTTTTTAGGAAATCAAATTGCAACAAGTGCACTTGTTGTAAATTCAGAATATGGTTTTGTAAAAAAACATAACAAATTTATCATGTGCATATATGATACCCTATTGTGACCTAGAGACCATGGATACACATCATGCAAAAAATCTGCTAAAAAGAGAAATTATGCACCTCAAACATTACCAAGAACCTGTAAGATGAACCTTGTGAACCGGGTGCAGCTATACTAGCATTAGGGGTGTAAAACAGTCGAGTATCTGCCTGATCGAACTAAGCTTGTTTAGTTGTTGCTGAGCTCGAGCTCGACTTGAGCTCGTTTACTAAGCTCGAGCTCGAGCTCGACTTAAGCTCGTTTACTAAGCTCAAGCTCGACTCGCTAAAAACATCATAGGCTCGAGCTCTACTCGATTGCTCAAGCTCGTTTAGAAAACTCGAGCTCCATTTCTTAGTTTTAAACTTTAAAGTAAAAAATTTAGTGTTTTTTTTTTATTATTTTTATATTTTAATATAGAATTAATTTAAAATAATTATATAATGCTAATTTAAATTAATTATTAATACATTTTAATTTAATCGAGTGGCTCAACGAACTTTCGAGCCGAGTCAGGCTCGAACCTTTTATTGGACGGTCCGTGCGTGGCGACTGGGTCGCTGGGAGCCTCGGCCGTCTTCTGAGCTTTCTTTTTTCGCCTATAATTCTTGTTGTTTTCTTTTACTTTGTTTCCCTTTTGTAGCTGTTGTAACCTTTGTTGATTGAGTAATTAATTTATGTTTTGGTTAAAAAAAAAACAAAAACAAAAAAAAACAAAAAAAAAAAAGGTGTTGCCAAGGATCTAGAATTTTTTTTATGGAGGCTTTGATCAATTGCCATCAAATAAGTGACCAAGTGGGTGCCATATTGCATATGCAAGAAGTATCATGTACATATATGGAAGTGCTTGGAAAAATGCAAGTCACGCTCATCATGGAAACATGGACAGTAGCTTTAAAGAAGTGTCGTGAATTCCTTGCTCAGAATTTTCATAACATAAAATTTAACAAGGATAATATTAGGGTATATGCGTGTGCTCCATCTCGCTCCAAAAAGCACTTAATAAATAGAAAATCAAAATGAAAGAAATAGTTTAAAGTCAATACAGCAAAAATAACTCCTGATATATCAATTCCAAATACATATATGGAATTGACCAAGTGGGTGCCATATTGCATATGCAGGAAGTATCATGTACATATATGGAAGTGCTTGGAAAAATGCAAGTGATGTAGACAAAGGGGGGGTCAACTCATGTCCAAAATAAATCAATTTTGGCTTCCCTCGAGTTTACAAACTCAATCAAAATTGAGCTGAAATTTTAGCTCATTTATGAGCTGGTTTTTAGTTCACTTATTGAACTAAGGGTTAGCTCATTATTAGCTAACATTTTAGTTCATAGTTATCTTTTAATTAATGTAACTTTTATAGTTTTTTATGTCTTAATTTAAGTTGTCTCTTGGGATTCCAAAATGGCTTTTGGAATCCTAAGGAAGTTTGTTTTCCCCATGCCTTGGCTCCTTCGCTTCCACGGGTTGGCTATTTCCCGTGCCGTGGCTCCTTGGTTCTCATGGTGGCTGCTGGTTTTCCGAACTGGGGGCCTTCCCGTGGCTTTTGGCACCTCGATTCCGTGCGGTCCCTTTGATTCCCGTGGTTGCTCCTTCGGTTCCTGGGCTGGATTGTTTTTCCGTGAAAAGCAAGGGGGCTTTTCATGGCTTGTGATGTTTGGATTCCTATGGGAGTTAAATGTAGTGTCCGTTTATATTCCCCCTTTCATACCTATAAATATGAGGGGTTTGTTATGTTTTAAAAAGAGAATGATATGTTATTTTTGGAAAAGCTATAACCTGCGGGTTTGCTTGGAAAAGCTTGCGATCTTTGTCTACCTTTCTCATCCCCTCCGGAAATCTTGCGAGCTCTTTCCAACCTTCGTCTTAGCTTCTAACCTCTTTCGTCTCTCCGCAAGTTGACACCCCACCTGTATCCTTCTTCTCTAAGTGAAGCAAGTTTAGGGTGTCTTTGATTTCGATTTGAGTTTAAAAGTCGTTTAATCCAAATTTGTAGTTGTCGATTTATTTGTTTTTTTAATTTCTAAGTCTGTCTTAGATTTGAAATGTAAGAGTTTGTTCTTCCGCTCGTCGTATTCTCCCCTTATTGAGCGCGTCGTGCCAATCGTGCCGGCGGAGGTCCTCGGGTGCCCCATCCCCCGGATCTCTTGCCCGCATCATTTGGTATCAGAGCAAGTTAGGAAATCCTAGGTTTTAGATTTGGTTGTCAAGTTTTGTTTTGTCAAGTCAAGTCAAGTTGTGAGTCTTGTAAGTCTTGTCGTGAGTCTTATTGTCAGTCTAAGTTTAGGTTAAATTTTTTTAGTCTTGTTTCAGTCGTCAAAAAAAAATGAAAAAAGACAAAAAGACAGAAGAAAGCAAACTAGATGAAATTGAAGATCCTATGGATAGGTGGATTCCATCAAAGTCAACAAATCCTCTGGAGTATGAATTGTACAAACTTCAATCATGGATGCACCTACGTACAGAAAGGTACTTCAAGAAAAAGCAGCGTTTACAAGATCGATTTCTGAAAGAACGAGATGAGATCATGCAGAAGTATGAAGATTTGATCAATAAATTGGATGCACCGTCTTCACCTTCTCAAGAGAACCAAAAGCTAACTCATCGGGAGATGAGTTCGTAAGAAGGGGAGTCTAATGTAGACAAAGGGGGGTCAACTCATGTCCAAAATAAATCAATTTTGGCTTCCCTCGAGTTTACAAGCTCAATCAAAATTGAGCTGAAATTTTAGCTCATTTATGAGCTGATCTTTAGATCACTTATTGAACTAAGGGTTAGCTCATTATTAGCTAACATTTTAATTCATAATTATCTTTTAATTAATGTAACTTTTATAGTTTTTTATGTCTTAATTTAAGTTGTCTCTTGGGATTCCAAAATGGCTTTTGGAATCCCAAGGAAGTTTGTTTTCCCCATGCCTTGGCTCCTTGGCTTCCACGGGTTGGCTGTTTCCCATGCTATGGCTCCTTGGTTCTCACGGTGGCTGCTGGTTTTCCGAACTGGGGGCCTTCTCGTGGCTTTTGGCGCCTCGGTTCCATGCGGTCCCTTTGGTTCCCGTGGTTGCTCCTTCGGTTCCTGGGCTGGGTTGTTTTTCCGTGAAAAGCAAGGGGGCTTTTTATGGCTTGTGATGTTTGGATTCCTATGGGAATTAAATGTAGTGTCCGTTTATATTCCCTCTTTCATACCTATAAATATGAGAGGTTTGTTATGTTTTAAAAAGAGAATGATATGTTATTTTTGGAAAAGCTATAACCTGCGGGTTTGCTTGGAAAAGCTTGCGAGCTTTGTCCACCTTCTTTCTCATCCCCTCCGGAAATCTTGCGAACTCTTTCCAACCTTCGTCTTGGCTTCTAACCTATTTCGCCTCTCCGCAAGTTTACACCCCACCTGTATCCTTCTTCTCTAAGTGAAGCAAGTTTAGGGTGTCTTTGATTTTGATTTGAATTTAAAAGTCATTTAATCCCACTTTGTAGTTGTCGGTTTATTTGTTTTTAATTTCTAAGTCTGTCTTAGATTTAAAATGTAAGAGTTTGTTCTTCCGCTCGTCGTATTCTCCCCTTATTGAGCGTGTCGTGCCCTTCGTGCCGGCGGAGGTCCTCGGGTGCCCCATCCCCCGGATCTCTTGCCCACATCAGCAAGTCACACTCATCATGGAAACATGGACAGTAGCTATAAAGAAGTGTCGTGAATTCCTTGCTCATAATTTTCATAACATAAAATTTAACAAGGATAATATTAGGGTATATGCGTGTGCTCCATCTCGCTCCAAAAAGCACTTAATAAATAGAAAATCAAAATGAAAGAAATAGTTTAAAGTCAATACTGCAAAAATAACTCTTGATATATCAATTCCAAATACAAGGCCTAAGCCAAACAACATTAGATTTTTAAAACTTACCATTCAACAATGAGGTAAAAGAAACAGCTCATAAAAGTCCTTATGAATACTTTCATCCCAGGAGAACACCCCCACCAGTACATGAAAATAGTGTTTGCTCTACGATAGAATGAGTAAGAAATTTTCAAGCTCGACAATGAGAATTCAGCAATCTGATAGGAAACACTTGAAGTTATCAAGAATCTCTATCAATCTTTGATAAAACAGCGAAAACTTTCCTCCAAACTCTAACAAAAATCAGAAAAAACAGTAATTTTATTACAAGAATCAAATAGAACGGAAGAAAATAATAAGATATAGTTGATCCTCAATTCG